GGTGACCTGCCCCCATAATGCCACAACCTAGGGGCTGCGACCTGATTGACAGGCTAAACTCCACCCCTTCACTCTTAATCGTCTCAGTTGACATCAGATGATGTAACGATCACAGGCACCTAACAACAACCATAACAATCGTGTGTGGAGTGAATCAATAAATGAGTGTGATTCCTCTGGCTGAAGATGTGTGGGCTGCTCCCAAGCCTGCACCATCACAGACAACCCTGAGCACAGAGTCTCCTACCTACAAGGGCAAGTTCATGGACACATGGGATTCAAAGAGAATGGCATTTCCCCCTCTTGGGAGACACACACAGACACACACGTGGCCTTGGGCATCTGTGCCCCTAGCTAGAGGAAGGACTGTCAAGGTGGGGCTGGGGTATTGCAGCTAGGGATTTGACACTGGGAAGTCACTGCCAGTTGCTCTCTGTCCTGGGCGTTTGGCAAGATGTTCCTGCCAGCCGGGCATGGGAAGTGACTCTTCCGGGCTCATGCACAGGGCAGGCTTATTCGAAAGCAGGGATTTCATGAACAGGGGCCTCCTTAAAGGGCATCTGGAAGAACCAGAGTCCTGCAGTGCTGAGCAAACTCAGAGAGCTTGAGGTTCTGGCCCGCGACGAGGCGGCAGTTAAAACCCGGCAGCTCTTCGTGTCCCTGTTCATTGTCCGGCACAAATGTCACCCCTAGATACCGGAAAATTCAATTGAGGAGAAATGGCCGCTCCTTAGGAACTGGCTCGGTGGGAGATGGTGGCTGAGGTGGGTGCCCAGTGGATGCAGGGGCTGAGAGGAGGCTGAGGGGGCACATATAGCTTCCCTGCAAAGTGTGAATGCCACCCCCAGTGAGGGCCTGACGTGCCCCTCCCCAAAGACTGGAACACAGGGTGTGTGTGTGTGTGTGTTGTGTGTCTGTGTGTGTGTGCGTGTGCGTGTGAGCTTCATTACAATGTCCCTAGCCAAACCAGACCCATCACCATGAAGTCAGTCCCAGTACGATGCCCTGGAACAGCAAACATTACAGGCAGCATTTGCGATTCATCCTGTTGGAATGGGCTCTATGTGCTGTACGTTAAAAGCAAAACTGGGGTGCTCAAACTCTAGTTGTAGCAACTGGTTTCATAGGCCCAAACGGAGCCCTGTGTGAGGGCATCAATGCCAGGAGTCCTTGCCCACCCGTAGCCACCCTGGTGGGCAGGGTAGAAGTGCCTATACGGGGTCACCATGCATCAGAATAGAGCGACCCACAGTGGGTTTGGGCTTGGGATCCATTTGTGTGCCCCGCCAGAGCACTCCTTGGAAGCAAGGAGGGCGCGACGTGGTCTCGTGCACTTTGGACATGCTGTCAGGAGAGACCGGTCCCTGGAGAAGGACGGCATGCTTTGTCCAGTGGCTGCGCAGCGCGAAGAGGGAGACAGACGTTCAACCAGACGATGGGCACAGTGGCTGCAGCCAAGGGCTCCAACCCAGCAACCACTGCGTGGATGGCGTAGGACCGGGCGGTGTTTTCTTCTGTTGTCCATCGGGTCGCTGTGAGTTGGAGCTGACCGTAACCTCAACACAAGTAGGGCGTTCAGAACCCTGGCACAGCACTTGGGGACACAGGCAGTGATGGAAGTTCCCCCAGAGACCTGAGTGCAGTCAGGTTCCCAAGCCTTGAGTCCTTTAAAGGAGCCATCACAGCAACCAGTCTTCTAGAAACAGGACCACCAGCTGCATGGGCATCTTCCTGTCCTCCCACGGGGGGCCTGTGACCCTCAGGGTCTGGGCACAGACGGCCAGCAGGAGGGGAAGCTGACGGAGCAGTGAATCTTACCTGGTCCCATGGAGGGGCAGAGCAGTATCTGGTTGGGAAGTAGTCCTTCCCTCCCACCCTGAAACCTGAATCACTGCCACAGTCAAAGTCCACCCGAAGTGACCAGGAGCAGGTCGAGTGGTACCTTGGGTGCCCAGCTGGGAGTAGGTTTCCAGAGCCTCTTCGGCGCTCTGCCGGATGACCCATCTGCTGGGGCTATACTGGATCTGCAGCAACTATGGGACAGAGACAAGGTTCTGTGAGGCTGGGATCTCCCCACAGAGCACATCCCACACGCCCGCTTGGCCACCTCCACCTTCCACCCTGCTCCTCATAATTCACCAGGAGCTTCAGATGCAGCCTACAGTCCTGGTGGAACAGAGAATTAACGAGTTCAGCTCCTCGTCAAGGGGGGGAGGTCCACACCCCCCAAGGGCATGTTGGAATCAAGGCCTGGCAATCTGCTTCTGAGAAGGCAGCCAGGAAAAGCCCTGTGGGGCCCAGTTCTGCTCTGTCCACCTGGGTCTGAATGGACATGCCAATGGTAACTGCTTAGCTCCCGCACTGACAGGTGCTCGGATCCAGTCATTACGGAGTCGAGAGGACACAATACCTATTTGGCCTCCCACTCCCTTCTCAGAAAGAAGGAAAATGACTCAGCCGTTGAAAACGTTTGTTCGCTAGCCCATCCTCCAGGATAAAGTGTAGGCATCTGCGTTTGCAGACCCCTCCCCACCCAGGCCATTCTAGCACTGGCCAAGAGGGGGCAGTACCACCCACTCTGGGAAATGCTGGAGGCAGCCCAGGGTCAACACACCCTGAACCAGCGACAGGCTTCAACAAAGGGGAGATATGGAACCCTGGTGGCACAGTGGTGACCACTGGGCTGCGAACTGTCAGGTCAGCAGTTCGAAACCACCAGCCACTCCTCAGGAGAAAAAGGAGGCTTTCTACTCCCATAAAGAGTTTCCATCTCTGAAACCCGGAGATGTAGTTCTACCCTGTCCTATAGGGTCCCTGTGGGTTGGCCTCGGCTCGATGACTTTGAGATTTCAGAGTTTTGAGGTCCTGGAAATGTGTCGTGGGTAATGGGATCGCGTGACCCAGGCTTACAGCACCAACCCCCGCTGGAGGTCAGAGAGCTGGGGTGGCCACTGCAGAGGAAGGGGCGTGGGTTGGTGTTGGGTGACAGGGTGGGCTGAAGATGGGAGGAGGGGCGGGTCAAGGGGAAGATACAACAGAGGCACAGGGATGGGAGGAGGGACGGAGGGTCAGGGGTGGGGCTGAGAGTGGGGTTCAGTGGGGTGGGGGCTGTGCCTGCAATGAGGACTTTGGAGCCCCAGGGGAGTCATACTAAGTGGTCAGCTGCCAACACAGAGGGAGACAAAGCCTGGTGACCTGCCCCCATAATGCCACAACCTAGGGGGGTGGGGTCGCTGTGTCAGAATCGAGGGGCCCAACCAACCGAACCAGTGTCACTATCTGCGTGGGGTGGTGGCCGCACTTAAGGGACTGTTGTCATCAGCCACTGACAAGAAGATGGTGCTCATGTCTCACAAGTCCGAGTCCTCTGAGTGTGTGCGTGTGCGTGAGAGAGAGAGAGAGAGAGAGAGAGAGAGAGAAGCAGACTGGCTGGATCAGGACTGATATACTGAGTCCCTGGGGCAGTATCCAGAGCTTTCAGCAGATTTTCAGATGTATTCATTACTCAAAACAGAATCCCTGCCCCGCATGCAGGAAAACAAGCGATGATGGCATCATGGACCCTCTCCCAGTGCCAGGCACTTGGCATGTGCTGCTTCTAACCCTTTGAACACCCTCCGTAAACTCCTGCCTCCCCGATAAATTCAGACCCAACCAGGTTACGTAACCCCAGGCCAATGGAACAAGAGAGGAGAACTTTGGTCCTCACTTTGTGGGCTGTGGATAGAGCAACAAGCTGGCATCCGTGCCCCCTATCCTTAAAGCCCGGAGAACAGAACCTGCCTGGCTCCAGACCGAAGAGCATCAGTGGGTGGCTGGCACCCATCAGGCTCACAGGGCTTCTGAGCCAGTCTCTCAGAGTCAGAGGGTCTGTCTAGGGCTGGGGATGGGGTACCAGTAGTTGCCCTAGGGTCGTTTGAAGGGAGACAGCCATGCATTCAGTGAGCCATGGAAATTTCCATCTTCAGCTGTGAGAGATGGAAATACTAAGGAACTACCAGAGGCGCTCTTATCTAAAAGCGCATCTGCTTAGAACTAACTTGCTTAGGGCAAGTCCACTCTGACTCACTAGTTGCCATTCTCAGTCAATTCTGACGCAAAGCGACCCATCCTCATGGGTTTCCTTAGGACCCAGAAAGTCCCATCGTTCTTCCAATTGGAGAACTTCCAGTGGTGTCGAACTGTTGATCTTATGATTAGCAGCCCAACACTACTCAGACCCATAGTGACTCCCTAAGGACGGAGTAGAACGGCCCCCTAGAGTTTCCAAGGCTGTCAACTTTCTCCCCTGGACTCCTGGGAGTGGGGTGCAACCAACCTCTGGGTTTTCAGGGGAGCGTTTAACAACTGCACCACCGGGCTTCCTCGTGGCTTCGAATGCGAATTCTAATCGAATTCTAATCTGCGCTGACCTGTTCAGTCCCTACCCAGACCTTCCCGCAAGCCACCTACCTCCTTAGACATCTTCTTCCAGGGGGCCTCAGCCCCGCCATCAGCACGTGACACCTCCATCCCAAAGACAACCGGAGGGCCTCAGCGCCCAGCACTTGCAGCCGGTGAGGTGAGAGCCGCAAGTGCTGTGATTCTGGGCCAGCCCCTTCAACCACGCCCCGCCCCCTCGTCGTCGCCCCGCCCCCAGC